CTATGATTCTATGATTCTATGATAACTTTAAGAAAGGATGTTCTGGGGCGGTGCTTGAAGCCTGGAGAAAGGGCTGTTCCACACCTGGCTGAGAAATACTTCTGACTTTTGCAAGCAGGTCTCCACAGAGGGACCACCAAGCCTTTGGGCTAAAGCAAGACCAAGAGCCTGAAGGACCCTCCTAGCTCACTGTTTTCCCTCTGGGCTTTTATGGGTGCCCTAGCATATACTTCTGTCTAATGCAATTACTGATCTATTTCTTTTTGAAAAACTCTGGATCCCTCATCAATTTTCTCTAATTGTCCTCCGAAGCATGTATGTGGTTGTACTTGCACTGCACATACTACACCAGCAGTAAGACCTGCAGCTGCTGATGGGGGAGATAGATAGTCTCTTCACGTTCAAGTAGCAACAGCCTCTGCCTGGGTCCCTGGCAATGGGCATTGCATCCTGTATGGGCAATTGCTGTAGTTTCTCCAATGAATGCTTCAGCTGCCCTTGCACCTGATTCTTAGCAGGACAGATGTATTTACTTTATATATTAATTTTTATTACCGTTAAACCTCTTCAAAGAGCAAATGAAGATGTGACATAATACAGCTATACGCAAATTATTCCCAAACTTAAAGCAAATATGGAATTGTACCGCTATTTCACGGGAACGACCCCACAACGTAAGAGCAATTAGCTGCTGTGCATGGTTTGGAAAAGTGCTGAGCTGAAGATGCTCCGGGTACTACCGGGTCTTTTGAACGTCTGATGTGCTCACAGAGCAGGGAAAAGAGCCCCGGGGGTGGTGGAAGAAGCTGTGGCCGAGCTCTGAGCTGCAGGCAACGTTTCACGTGTTTGGTGCTGATGTTTCATAGTCCAAATGGTTGCTCCTTTGTCTCCTTGCCATGCAGAGAGCTCAAGGCCTGGTGGAGGTAAGCCAAGCTTGCAGGAGCCTAAGTAGACCCATGTCCGAGGTAGGTCTGAGAGGGGAGCAATACAGGGGAGCAGCTGATGATTTGGAAAAAAGATTCCGTGCATGTTCCCCAGCTGCTCTTCATCTCTGGGTACAGGTGCTCACTAGCCCTTAGGGCCCATCACCTCACTGCAACCTCCAGAGCAGACCGCCAGCCTGGAGGACCCTCCACGTCCAACTCAGCAGTAAGTGCTTTAGAAACTAATGCAAACATAATGGTGGAGACCAGTGCAGCAGGGGAAGGCATGGACCAGCCTGGGAGCAGGTCCTGCTAGAGCAGAAGGGAAATGGCAGTTTTGAAATCCCAGCTCCAAATCAAACCTGGAAGCACTCTGTGCACTCAGCTGGTTTTGGGGCTTGGTGTCTGAAGCTCCTGCCGGAAGGCAAAGCTAGCATCAAGACCTGAGACAGTCGGTAACCGGTATGGGAGCCGTTGTGTGTGCCCACTGGTGAGACCTGCTCTGCAGTCCCATCCACGGCAAAGCTGCGGCTGTTCCCTTCTCCCAGTTCCCCTAACCCAACCATTGAGCGCTGCACCAGGAGACAGGCATGGTGCAGCCCCTCAGCCAGTGCCTGACATGCTGGTGGCCTCTTGGAAGAAGGGAACAAACCAACAGGATAAAGAAGAGGAGGTGGGAGCCTTAGTTTAAGATTTCCTTAGCTTGGCGTTTCCTTATTTAATGGTGGGTCCTAGCACTGCTGGGTGTTGCTCCGCTTCATTGCCCATTGAACCTGGGGTTCACGACCGTGGTGGTGGCACTCTTGAAGAGGGGGTTATCCGCCTGGAGGGAGAGGGGTGAGAGGCCCGTGTTGTTGTGCTGTATTGGATTTTCAGCGGAGCGTTACCCACTCCACCCCTCCCAATGTTGACGGTGCAGACAGGGTTGGCAGAAGAGCCCACAGGCTGCTTTAGCCCCCCTGCAAAATCCAGCTGGGCTGCAAAACCAGCCAATGGGGAGAGCTCCGGTCTGCCATGGCTGCCTCTGGAGAGGATGTCCCCTCCAGATGTCCCCACCGCATGTATGTGAGCATCCCAGGACACCCCACCTCCACGGATGGGCTCTCTTACGTCATTCCACTTGGCCTTGGACTTCTCCTTCTCGAACCGGCGGTATTCCCGGCGGTCAAACAGCTCCGTCAAGAGCCGCCAGATCAGCAGGAGCACCAGACCAATGAGGGCCACGCCAGCAACGGTGCCTCCCACAATCAGTGCGATATTGGGAGGCTCTGGGCACTCTGTGGGGCAGACAGACGGTGTCCGGCTGCGGCCCCCAGTGAGGCAGCAAGGCCACCATCGCAGACTTGCCTGCAGAGGGACAGGAGGAGCAGGGCTGGGGTACCTTTTTTGGGATCAACGTTGACGCTATACATCTCCTCGCCGTCCTCCTGGACCATGCTGAAGGAGATCCAGCAGTTGTGGGAGTCCTTCTCTCTGCACTGCCTGCTCGCCACTGTCAACTTCTTGTCCAGCCAGATGTAGGGGCAGGCCTGGGAGCAGTTCTTCTCGAAGGGGCCGCTCTCGAAGGCCTTGCACTCCACACAGGAGCTGCAAAACAGGCAGCCACAGCTCACCTCTGCAGGGGCAGAGGCCCTCTCACCTGGCTTTGGCTGCGGCTGGGCTCTGCCTGCGCCCAGGGCTTGCCTGGGCAGGGCAGGCAAGGGCTTGCCTGCGCCTGCCTGGGAGGTAGGGGGGATCCCTGCTGCCCCCCATGCCGCCTCCGCGCGTGTCACTCACACATATCTGCCACAGGGTGAGGGGCAGCCAGGGCACTCCTGGCAGAAGGGGGGCTGGTATCCCCCCTGGCACTGGCAGCGGTTGCAGTGGCAGTTCCCGCGGTGGCTGCACTCGTTGCCACGGATGTTCAAGCAGCCGTCCGTCGACTTCTTGCACTGGCAGGCACTGCCCTGGTACTCAGGCATGCACTTGCACTCCCCGCAGTCGCATCTCCCACGGTCTGTGGGGGAAGCCCTTTCAGACCAGGATCCTATAGAGACCCAGGTCGCCCTCCCTCTGCCTGTGCTTGGAGAGCATCACCCACCCCGTGCTCTCCATGCTACCCTCCATGGGATGGTCGAGGAGGTCCTGCAGGTGGGACCCAGGACCCCCAAACCCACCCACTTGGGTTTTGGCAAGGAAAGGCAGCATCTCCCTGGGGATTTAATCTTTCTAAACAGTGCCCCAGTGGAGAACCCATCACACAGATGCATCACCTTTGCCGCCGCAGAGAGAGCCGTTGTGAAACTCGCAGTTCATGTTGTCACACTCGCAGAAGGTGCCATAGATCTGCTTGTTGGGCACGTCGCTGGTGTGGCAGATGCACTGCCCGCACACACAGTCCCCTAGCCCCGAGCAGATGATCGAGCTGTTGTCCTTCCGACAGCTGCCCTCCAACTCCTTGCTGGTCTTGCCTTTGGTTTCGCACTCGCAGTTCTTCCCCGTGTAACCCAAATTGCAACTGCCGTCAAAGGAGAGGAGTGAGCCTGGGTCAGCAGCCACAAGAAATGTTGTGGGGCACGTGTGGGGCCCAGACCTCAGCCAAAGCAGAGCAAATCTGGGACAGCCTCACCGAAACCCAACCATGGCATGTTGGTGCTAACTCTGTGCTGGAGCAGGGCAGCTGATCAGGAGGAAACCTCAGAAACACTGCTCTCCCCGCTGGTCATATTTACAACACCAAACGATTGTCCAGAAATTATTGTTACATTTATAATTTCCAAACCCTTGCCAAGATCTGAGTACTTCCTGAAAAAACCCAGTCTTTTCCTCTCCCTGTCACTGAGGGGCCATGAAGCAATAATTGCACTTAAAGACCTGCATGAACTACAGCTCCGAAGTGGGATTTCAAGAGATTTCTACAGAAATCTGTCTGCTTGATGGGTGGGTTGGTGGATGGTTGAATAGTTAGATGGATGGATGGATAGTTGGATGGACAAGTGGGTGGTGCCCTTAGGAAAGCAGAAGAGACTCCAGCAACAGAAGAGAGAGCTCATGTCCCCTGCTTCCATGAACGTAAACCACCTCTCTGAATAAGAAAATTGGTGCAAAGCTGCAGAGCCAGGCCACGACTGATCACCACGTGTACATCCCTCTGCTGAGCCCTCACCCGGTCCCACGTTCTCCAGGCGCAGAGGTGCTTGGAGAAACCAAGCGCACCACGCAGCTGCCCTTGGCTTGGCCCAACGGCCTTCTCCCAGCAGCTCCCCAGCTCTGGCAGCGTTTGAAATAGTGTTTTGAGGGGACACCATGTACCTGCAGATCCCACAGACGATGCTGCCTTTCCCACTGCAGGCGGTTGGGTCGGGCTGCTCGTTGCAGTTGCAGTTGCAGTTGCTGTCCAGGTGGACGGTGAGGGTGTCTGTGAAGCCCAGCGGCCGGATGGTGAAGGACTGGCTTTTGATGCATTCCTTGGCCGTGACCTTCACTTTGAAGGTGACCTAGAAAGTGCAGAGTGAGAAAGGGAAGGGCCAGAGGCCGTCAGGTAGCTTCAGCAATAGGAGGGTGGTATCGGCCCCAGGCTGAGCACACACGCACATCCAGCGCAACGGAGGGTTCTCCCATCACGCAGCATTTTGGACACTCTTGGCATTAAATACCAGAAAACCTGGAACAACAAGCTGGATTCCTGCCATTAAACAGGATGGGCATCAGGAACCTTCCGAGCTGCAGGGCGTTCCCAGTACGCGGGAACGTACCTCATCATTGATCTTGACGTTGTCGCACTGCCCTCTTGCTTCATCCAAGACTGCATCCATACCCTTACTGCACATGGAGTCATATTTGACATCCAGGACATCTGGCAGGGTAGAGTGGTCCAGGATGATCCGTGAGGAGAGGTTCTGTGGGGAAATGGTGGAGAAAGTGCCATCAGTCCAAGAGGAGACCGTAGCAATTGCGTGTGTGGTTGCAGGTCAGGGCTTCTCCCCAGCTCAGGGGATAGGGGCAGGGAGCACCCCAGGCTGGGGTCTCAGTTGCCTGGTGTGGTTCTGGAAAGGCAGGTGATAGCATTGGAGAGGTGGGAACCTCTTGCTTGCTGTGGGCAGAGAGACTCAGCATGTCCTCTCCTCAAAGCCCTGGTCCAACTGCTCTCTGATGGTGAGGACACACGATGGGAACCTTTCCCTGCTCTGAACCCTGTGAGACAGGCAAAACACAGCCTCCTCCAGCACTTACGTTGTAGGCCACCTGGATGAGTTCAATGATATTGCTGGAGTCCTCGTTCAGCTCTCCCACCGCCGACTTTGGGATCATCTCACTGAGTTTCTGCCAATGGAAAGTGAAGACATGAGCAGTCCCTGCCATGTGACGGTGGAGCAGGACACGCATAGCTGTTTCTGTCCTCCTGGGGAGGTATGGGATGCACCTGGACCATCTGAAGTCTCCTTACCTTGTAAACATCCACCATCTTACTGGTAACAGCAAAAATGGGCTGAATGTTGTTTTCGGCAAGTTTCTGGACCAGCTGGCCAACAGATGGGTAGTCCTAGGTGGGGAGAGGGATGCTGCGCTCAGTGTGATCTTCCCAACCAACAGAAGGGTGGACAATTTGCGTTTCACGGCGCAAATTATGGTGATTATTGTGACCTTGTGGTCTCAGCAACAGGCTTGTTATGTGACATTTTTTGCTGCCTGGAGGAGCAAGGCTGAGGGTGCAGAGCTGCCGAGCAGCCCCTGGGTACTTACAAACTCATTGCTCTTTTTGTACATGTTGTCCTCCAAGTGGCACTGGCCGTCATTGGGGGTCAGGATGGCCCCAAGCTTGCCGTCACCAGCAAAGTGGAAGCCGTCATCAGTAGCATACACCAGCAAGCGGGTCACATTGCGCCAGCCAATCAAGTCCTGCAAGCGGCACGGAGACCTGTCCCTGAGCAGGGCTGGGAGGCTGATGCCAGTGGGCACGGTACGGCCCTTGCCAAAGCACAGCAAGTCTCATGTCGGCTACGGTGTGGGGCAGGGGGCACGAGGAGGTGGGTTGCAGGAGATCAGGGTCAGGAGCCTGGGGTATGATGCTCTCTTGTACCCCCCCAGAGTAACCTGCTGAATCAGGACTTATATACGATGGGCTTCCAGAGCCCACCTGCAGAGGGGCAGAGCCACCTCCTGAGGGACAGTGCGTGAGCACGGGTTGCAGCCCTCACACCTGCCCATAGCTGCCGGCAATGGGGCAGACAGGGGGACTCACCCCACACACTGCCGCCTGCATCATGGCATCCAGCCCCCCCTCTGGGGCATCCAGGTTCCCCGAGATAAACTGCTTCCCCACTTCACTCTCGAACTTCTTGGCGTTGTCGGTCAGCGAGAGGATGTGCTTGAAGGCGAAGGGAGGCTGGCATTGCTTGTCCTTGTTGGGGCAGGGGTTCTGCAGCTTCTCAGGGTGCGTGTTCACAAAAGGCAGCACTGTCTTGTCCACAAAGGAGCCAAAGCCTAGGGCATCCAGGACCGTAGCATCAGGGGCGGGGACAGGCAGGGACCGGCAGGCATCCCTGTGGCACAGGGCACAGACAATCTGCCGGCCCCATGTACGTGTCCACGTCCCTTGCCCCGGCACACTCTCCAGCCTGGCAGAGGACAGGTCACGCTGCCTGCTGCCTGCATCCCGCTCCAGCCCCGTGGCTCTTCCTGGCACCAAACAGCTGTGCCGGGGGCCCGTGCCGGAGGCAGGCTCACCTATGCGGCGAGAAGGGGTAGTGCTCTCCAGCGCCCTGAGCAGCTCCCCTCCCAGCTTCTTCACCTTCTCCAGATCATCCAGCATGGAGTAGGAGAGGTCCATGAGGTAGTAGAGATCAATGGGGTACCCCATGGCGCGGCGAAACTTCACCTCAAATACAGCGGGCTGGCCTGCAGGACAGGGATGCTGTGATCAGCTGCCATGCTGTGGCTCATATCTTGCCCCATCACCCACCCCCTGCTGGGATCCTCCTCTCTTTCGGAAGAAAAGGGGAGGAAATGCAGGCTGCGATGTGCCACTCTGTCCCAGCTGAGCCTAAGGGCGAGCAGAAGGGCATTGGGAACACCAGGCAGCCTGTACCTATCCTCAGTTTCAGGTGCACCTCCTGGGGAGTCAGCTGTATGTCATTGCTTAAGGGACTGTCCTGTGTCTTTGTAATGTTATTGACTGGAAACTCAATCTCGTTGTGCGGGCATCCCCTCTGCCGCAGCTGCTCGATGGTGTCACAGCGGATGGAGTCTGGCTCGCCAGCTTTGGTAAAACTCTGCAACATCAGCAGGGAAAAATCAGAAGAGCAGGAGGTGAATGGGCTTGTTACAAGATGACCCACCTCTCAAACCAGGTCTCAAGGGTATTGATGGAGAAAGGAAGGTTGAAGGGTCCTGTCTGTCAGATCCCTCCTGGCCCCATCCACCATGTAGGACATGAAACACTCCCATGACACAGTCTCCCCCTCTCCACTGCAGGCAGAGCTGGGTGGGCATGGTGACCATCCCACTGCCTGTTAGCTGACCGCTGGGGGCTGACAGCACGAGAGGCTACATGGACCTACCGGCTTCTTGCACCAGGCGCAGCCGGGACCAGACTGGATGCAGTCCTTGCACGTCCCCACCTTGATCTTGGGGCACTCCATTGCAAAGGCTGAAACGGAGAGAAGACAGAGTTGGTGTGGGGGGGATGTGGGGGAGGCCGGTCTGCAGTGGTGGCAGCCATGGGGTGCTCTGACACCCAGCACCAGGCACCTACGCTGTCCTGAGCCCCCCCTGCCTATAAAACCCATACTGGGGGCCCTGGCAGGGTCCTCGCCCACCTTGTTGTCCCTCAGCTGAGCCAGCTCGAGTTAACTCCAGATCCTGGGAAATGCAGGATCTGGCCCTTGCACGCCTCTTAATGCCACGTTCCTGCTGCTGTTGGGCAGCATTTGGGTTCCCCCACTATTTCACTGCCCATGTAAGGTTCCGGGGGAAGGCAGCGAGAAAGGGCAGGTCAGGCTTACCTGTCATCACCAGCAGCAGCACCCAGATCGCCACTGGCAGCCGGAGGCAGCAGTCACGCAACATTTCCTGCAAGACAAAAAGCATCCCTGTGACCGACTGGTGCATGGCAGCCACAAGGAAGGGAGCCCTCAAACCCTATAGAAAGCGGCTGCAGAGGATGGTGGCCCCAGGGGGACGTGCCCTTCCCGCAGCTGTCCCACTGCAGGCAGAGCCTGAGAGAGTGACCCTGCTGCAGTCCCAGGAGTCGAGCAGCCGGGGCCAGGGCAGCCACCCTGGATGTGTGGGCTAACTCAGGACGGGTGCTGGCATGCTCTTACAAAAATAATTTGGATTCCAATAAACATAGCTTTTGGACTAAATGTGGAAGTCAGCAGAACGGGAACTTGCACTGTATCGCTATGCATTCAGCTGAACTGCTGCAAAGCTTGATGTAGTGTTTATGCAGACTCTTCGACCTATATGATTATATCTATGTGACACTGGAAAATCTCAAGCACTGCATTTAGTTTTTACTAGATGTGAGTTTTTTCAGCTTCTGTGTTGAGCTATATTTGTATGAAAATTGGAATCAAAATTAGCAAAAAGACCATTTCTATTAATTAACTAGCAAGGTGTGCCAGGTATGTGGGAAAAAAAGTCTGTTACTACTTGCTTTATATTTAACTGATTCATCAAGGAAATGAAGTATTTAATGTAGTGATTTTTCCTGCGGAGCGTTTCCAAGAAGCAAGGGTTTCCAACATCATGGCACAGGTGACTGACATCCAAGAAGAGACGCAGTCCCACCTCCGAGGGAAGCAGAGGGGCTGGCTCGCACTGTGTGGTGAGGTCCAGCCTGCCATTGTGAAAACCATCAGGCTGGCTCTTGCACAATGTGCAGGGCAAGGAAGAAGGATGGAGTGTTGGAGTCAGTCCCTCACAGGGAGGAGGGCCAGGACGTGATGCTATCGGTGGGGGTTCTGACCATGGGGAGATGACTGCACATTTAATTAATGACCATGGGGAGATGACTGCACATTAATTTCTTAACTGGCGTGCAGGGAAGGACTCCCAGCACATCATCCAAACTCTGTAAGCACTTGTTATCCTCAGTTACACCAGCATTTCAGAGCATGATAGAGACCCTGTACTTCACAAGCACGTTCTCACAGTGCTTGTTCTAGCTGCTCACACGACTCGCTTCTTGCCTCAAAACACATCTCCTGATCCCAGAAATTTATGCCATCCATAAAGTTGGCTAAATCGCTCTCAGGGAGTGATTTTTCAGTGTTCTTCTGTGGTGTCAATGAGATCATGTTCATTAATGCTGTCATTTCTCATAACGCCTTCCCCCCAGCACGGCCCTGGAGCAAAACCCAATGGAGTCATGGCCTTGCAACATGGACGCACATGGGGAAGTGAGAAAAGAGGAATTTGTTAAAAGAGGAAGAAGGAATAAGAAAGCATGAAGGAAAAACAAACATTGCCCCTTTCAGCAATATTAGACACAGCATCCGAAAAACAGGTCATTGGTTTTGAAATAGCTCTGACGCTGCCCTGAGCAAGAAAAGAACCACTCCCTGGCTCCTGCAACTTGGCACAAAGTGCCATCACCCCCTCCTGTGAACCTGCTGAATTAACAGCTCAGAATCAAATGGAAATGAGAAAACAAGGGAAACCTTCAAAAGGCACTGAGGCCAGGTTAGTATGCAGGGCTGCTCAGATCCTCTTCTGAGACATCACAATGTCTTTCTTAGCTCGTCAGCCTCTATAAGATACCAGACAAGCAAGGGATGACACAGGTCAGCCTTGAAAGAAGGTCTGGTCTCCTCCTGAGGGCAGAAAGAAGGTCTAGGTGGGTCGATGGGTGTCATTTCAGTAACATTTGCACAGCGAGGTTTGGTGCCCAGCTGTAGTACGGACTCAAAGATGTGGCAGAACTGCTAAGGCTGGTTGCCGCCATTACTTATGGCACGGGTCATCTGGACGTGAAGGTGTCCTGGTTTCGGCTAGGATAGAGTTAATTTTCTTCCTGGTAGCTGCTATAGTGCTGTGTTTGGGATTTAGTATGAGAAGAATGTTGATAACACACTGATGGTTTAGTTGCGGCTAAGTAGTGCTTACTCTAGTCAAGGACTTTTCAGCTTCCCATGCTCTGCCAGGTGCACAAGAAGCTGCGAGGGAGCGTAGTCAGGACAGCTGACCTAAACTGGCCAAAGGGATATTCCATACCATACGATGTCATACTCAGTATATAAACTGGGGGGAGTTGGCTGGGGGGCGGCAACCACTGCTCGGGAACTGGCTGGGCATCAGTCGGCGGGTGGTGAGCAACTGCATTGTGCATCACTTATTTTGTATATTCTATCATTATTATTATTATTATTATTTTCCCTTCCTCTTCTGTTCTTGTCTATTAAACTGTCTTTATCTCAATCCAGGAATTTTACCTTTTTTTTTTGATGCGCTCCCCCATCCCACCAGAGAGGGCACAGTGAGCGAGCGGCTGTGTGGTGGTTGGCTGCCTGCCGGGTTAAACCACAACAGAAGGTTTGCAGCCTTGCGAACCCCACCCTGCTCTGGAGCTAGCCTCCCTGGCAGAGCTCCAGCAGCCTTGCCACTGAACGGTCACCCGATCAAACCCTCACAGTGATGTGGCCCAGGAGCTCGCTCTGCTGTGTCTGGCCCAAGACCATCCTGTGGTGGGTGGACAGAGTCCTTCTTCACAAAGATATCCTCCGCAAGTTCTTCTCCACCACCACAGTCCACCTTGGTAAGTTTTTAAGGGCATCGTTTATTGTCACAGCTGCAACGTCCCAGCCTGCATGATCCGCACTTGCCATGCTTAGCTGGCCCAATACATTTTTGTCCCCTCCAAATTCTGCTAGCACTGTTTGTGCTTGCAGACAACAGGTAAAAACTCTTGAAGCATAAAAAAAGAGAAAGGTCTTAACAGTAAAAGCTCTTAACAAGGCAGGGTGGACACCAGGTCCCTGTTGGACACTCCTGGGTGCACCTTGCTGGGAAATGACTTTGATCACTCATTTTGGCGGTGGTGCCCTGTGCCCGGGATGTACCCGGTGACCTGTGTCAGCCCAACCTGAGAGGCCTTCCAAGAGCAACATCACACTCCGAGGCACAGCTGGCTCCTTGATGACCACATTTGCTGTACTCTTAGCTGTATTCACGGTCTTCATTTGTTACTGATCGCTGCTTGCATCTGCTTTGCAGCATGTGTCTAGTTAATTAGTAGTGCCCTGGGGATGCTGAAAACAGTGTGAGCTCGTATTTTTGCTACCCCCTGCCCAAAAAATGGGTCCAGCAAGAGCTGCTGCTGCTGGCAGGAGGGAAGAGCTGCTTCCGCCTTGTTTCCTGTAGCACTCAGCTGATCAACACCCCAAATGTGCCCAATTAGGCTCCAGCTCTCCTACAAGCAGAACTTCCCATACAGACTGTGGGGACCAAGCTCATAGGCTCTATGAGCTCCTGCCATCCCACCCACCCAAT